GGGCTTTATATGCCCTATCTCAGAAACTCACAGGGGGCAGTTCTATCCTGTCCTGTAGGGTTGCTATGAGTTGCATTGACTTGATGGTGATGAGTTAATTTTTTTGTTTTTGTTGTTTTGTTTTTGAGACTTTGGGCCTTAAATAGAGGAATTTAAAAGATAAAAATTACTTCCTATCACGTTGATGCTGAGTGACCCCATAGAATAGAATAGAACTGCCCCATAGGGTTTCCAAGGCTTTAAATCTTTACAAAAGCAGAGTTGCCACATCTTTTTGGTGCTGAGCAGCCGGTAGTTTTAAACTACGTACGTTTTCTTTGCAGCTAGTGCTGTAACCACAGTGACACTAGAGCACTTGTAAGTAAAGATAGTAGTTCCTAAAAGTGACTATAATACGATTCAAATGTCTTTTAGTGCATCTTAACACAACTGTAACTGGCTTCAATGTGTCAGAGCTCTGAAGAATGAATGCACTGTACACTGTCTTGGAAGCACAGTCAATATGGGAACTATAATCAGACTTTCCCAGGGCCCCATTCTCCCTGTGCACCACACCCAGACACTCAAAGAAATCCCTTAACTTTTCCTAATTATAAAAAATAAATGGCTTTATACATTTACTGTTAGATGTGTTAAAGAAAAGTAGAGTGGTCATGAAGTATCGATGGGATCAGGTATCAAGCATCAAAGACCCAGAACAAAATATATCGATGTGAATGAGGGGGTGGGCAGAGTGGAGACCCAAAGCCCATCTGTAGATAATTGGACATCCCCTTACAGAAGGGTCACAAGGATGAGATGAGCCAGTCAGGGTGCACTGACAAAACACAACTTTCCTCTAGTTCTTTAAGCTTCCCCGCTCCACCACCCCCACCCTCAACCCCACCCCCATCATGACTCCAATTTAAACTTACAAATCTGGCCAGATCAGAGCATGTACACTGGCAAAGATAAGAGCTCGCAGCACAGGGAATCTAGGGCAGATAAACCCCTCAAGACCACTAATAAGAGTAGCGCTACCAGAGGGGAAGGAAAAGGTGGGAGGAACAAGGGGGAACCAATCACAATGATCTGCATATAACTCCCTCCCAGGGGGATGGACAGCAGAAAAGTGGGTGAAGGGAGACAGTGGTCAGTGTAAGACATGGAAAAAATTTATAAATTATCAAGGGTTCATGAGGGAGGGGAGGGGGGAAATGAGCTGATACAAGTGCTCAAATAGAAAGAAAATGTTTTGAAAATGATGATGGCAACATATATACAAATGTACTTGACACAATGGATTTATGTATTGATTATGATAAGAGCTGTAAGAGCCCCCAATAAAATGATTAAAAAAACATGTTTATGGCGGCTTATCTAAATCTCTAATCCACAAGTTTTGCAGGGGTTCTTGATATCATTGGGCTTTACAATATCTGCTGGTCACTAAAGCCAAACACAGACCACGTCTACTTAAAGCTGTAGCATTCTCTTAAAGGCACCCCAGTGGCATAGTGATTACACATTGGGCTGCAACTCCTGTGGTTGCCAGTTCAGAAACTACCGGCAGCTCCTCTGGAGAAAGACTGGGTTTTCTACTCCTGTAAACAGTTGCTGTTTTGGAAACCCACAGGGGGTCATTATGAGTTAGCAGTGATTTGATGGCAGCACGTTTGGCTTTTTTATTTTCTTTAAACATCTGGCACTAGGACATGAACTGGGAGTCAGTTTTGAGCTGGCAGGAGCCTATGGGCCCCAAAAGCTGAGAGAGGGGGGTCCCTTGGGCCTGGAGCTTGTCAGTAATGGAGTGGATGGGAGGGATGAGACCACAGCAGGGAGAACACTGGAGAGGCAGCCAAGTGTGTTCGTGGGGACAGCAGTTGAATCACTAGCCCTTCATAATATAACCATTCCGGCACTCTTAGTAAATGCCTGCTTATGTGGATTTTCTCACTTTGAACATACCTTCACGAGGCTTCTAACTTGGAAAAAAATTTTGTATATCTGTAGAACTTTGGATTCACATAGGAAATCAACTCCCAAATATTACCAGTGGGAAAGCAGACACTCCGGGGAAACGTGGTTTTCTGGTGACGTCCACATGGGAATGCTGCTGAGCACCGCGCAAGCACTTCAAAAATTTCCTTTAATAAAAAGGGCCAAGCTTTTTTGAGTTAGAGTACCTCACACTTGTAAACTTGATTGGGAAGGAAGAGTAGAAGGTGAGTGCTTGAGACTCTTATCTGTGACTCTGTTTGTCCAGGCCTGCTCCCTGCTCTGCCTTTCCTTGCCCCTTAGAGCACCAGGCCAGGATGGGCAGTTCCCTGACACTGCCTGCCTGTACATGCACCCGTCACTCCAGCACCCAGACTTTCGTCACTCCAGTACCCAGACTTCCCTGCATTGCAGGTGTTACAGAGCTCCCATGTTAGCCATAGTTATGTACATGCAGTTTGCTCTTGCTTCAACCCATTTACGCAGCCCTATTCTCTGCAACTTTCTACACTCTACCCTAAAGGGAATTGTGCATCAGTAACACTTGAGAAGCCTTTTGAAGTTGGTTTTAGTTCCTCTGATGCCATCATTTTTTGTGAACCTCTGGTCTTCTAGTTCCATTGAAGGCTTTAGTGAATGTTAGTGAAGGAGTTTGTCTGTTATACATACGCTAATTCAGAAGGGTGATCTGTTTAGTTAGCCCTTTAAAGATTCATGTAAAGAAATACTCAAGGTCATTTTGGATTTGTTAGCTTTGCTTCTTTTGTGTCTTCATTCCACGGAGATCATATCTCTGGTTTTACTTTATGTTAGTGGCCACATCATTGCATTTGTGCTCATGGAGTTTCCAGTGTAATAACTATACAGACATATTTCAGTGATGTGTATTAGGCTTTATTTTGTTTTGTTTACCCAGACATTAATTTTTTTACCTATTAGAAACAGTAGCACCAAAGGGAACACAGTACAAATAACATTCTTTGAGTACTTACATGAACGATGCTTGTTACACATTGCAACATCAATCATCATCAACATCATAATATCCACTTAAACAAAGGGAGAAATGAAGGCATTATATGGTTACGGGATTTTTCCCAGGTCCTATAGCTAGTAGGACACAGCCAGGATTTGAAGTCACATATCTGGCTCCAGAGCCTAGACACTTAACACTATGCTCAGCCTCCTCCCATATATGTATATTGTGCAACTATGTTCAACAAAACATAAGCCATCTGTGGTAGTCATATAATCTGTTGTCAATTTGAGAGGATTAAGAGTGAAGGGGTAGAGTTTAGCCTGTCAGGGTGCAGCTTGATGACCTCATTTGGGGATGCTAAGGGGAGATAAATAGCTTGCTGGAGGCAGGAGACAGGCTCACTCCCTGCAAGACATTTCTGTTGACAAGATACATGGAGCTACGCTTGTGCCCTGAGCTGGAGGAGCCACGTGGACACCCCTGCCAGCACTGAGATGCTTACATTGCCACTGGATCCACAAGACCTTCCATCTACTGGCCTGTGATCGTCCTGCATTCGGCATCATTGCATGTGTTTTGTGAGTCTGAAGCGACTTTATAGGTTGGTATCAGACATAGGGGCTAATATTGGACGTATGGATCTGATCTGGACCATGCTGGGATGTTTTCTTAAGATTCATTTGCTCTTGTGTATAAACCTCTTTCTTATACATATGAGTGTCTATGAATTTGTTTCTCTAGTCAACCCAGACTAACACACCATCCTTACCATTTCGGTGGAACTTGAGTGGCGTAGTGGGTTATGTGTTGTGCTGCAAACCAGAAGGTCAGTGGTTCAAAACTACTAACTTGCTCTATGGGAGAAAGATGAGGCTTTCTACATTCAGTGTCTTTGATTATCGTATACACTCGAGTATAAGCCAACCCAAATATCAGCCAAGGCATCTAATTTTGCCACAAAAACTACATTAAAAATATGCTGAAAAACTAGGCTTCTACACAAGCATATACTGTATATTCTTTAAGTTATGGATTCAATCACTTCTTGGCCCTTTGGCTAAGATAAAGTGAAGCTATGAATCCAGTTTCGCTGCCTTTTTCTAACTATTAGAATAAACTTAGTGCCCTCTAGGCAAAAACACCTCCTTTGCACACCCTTGGGTGTAGCCAGTTACATAGTGTGGTGTGTAGGAGAGTTTGACCACAATGTCAGCAGTTTGAAACCACCAGCCATACTGTGGGAGAATGATGAGTTTTTGTTTTAATAGTCTCAGAAACCTACAGGGGCATTTCTGCTCTGCCCTGTAGGATCTCTATGATTTGAAATCAACTCAGTGATAGCGAGTGAGTGAAACTCCTGATAATCACTTAATAAGCTTTGGATTCCATATTTGCTTATTTCATATAAATGAGATCACAAATTTGTCTTTTTGTAAATGACTGATTTTGCGCAGCCTGGTGTTTTCATGGTTTGTATGTGTAGTGGTATGAATCAGGACTTCCATTTCTCTTTATGGCTTAGTAGTATTTGCCTGTTATGTGTATATAGCACATTTTGTTTATTCATCTGTGGTTGCATGTATCCGTTGTTTACATGGCTATTGTGAGTAGTCCTACAATGAACAGTGATATACAACTACTTGATTCTCTGCTTTCAAGTAAGTGTCTTGGGTATATTATTAGGGTTGGAATTGCTGCGTCATAACAAGTCCAACTCGTTGGCAAAGAGTTTGGGTTGGATTTGGTTAAAGTAGTTCTTTTAAAAAAAATTTTTTTTTGGTTAAAGTAGTTCTATGCTCAACATTTTGAAGAACTGTCAAAATGTTTTTCATAGTGGATGAAGGTTCTAGTTTCTCCATAACTTCTCCAATGACTGTTCTTTTTCTTTTGTTGGATCATTGCTATTCTAATAGCAGTGAGGAGGTATCATTATAGTTTCGATGTCTCTCTTATGACTAATGTCATTGAGCATCTTTTCATGTGCTTGGTGACCACTTGAATATTCTTTTGATGAAATAAATGTCTGTTAAAAATCCTTTGGCCAGTGCTCGCTTTGGCAGAATATATACTAAAATTGGAATGATACAGAGAAGATTAGCATGGCCCCTGCACAAGATGACAGGCAAAATCATGAAGCATTGCGTATTTTTCCATCTCCCCCCGAGCAGGCCTTCTATAGTGGAACCCTATTGAGGAGGCTGTGGCAAAAGCTGCTAAGCTGGCTGAGGAGCATTCTTGAAGGGGGGTCCTTTGAGCCAACTGACCCCTGTGCACTCTCCTCCCCCCAATCCAAAAGCTTGTTTTCTGTGTAGGCCACACAAGAGCCTTGTTTGAAAATGTGTTCTGTCTAAAAAATATTTAAGGTTTCCAATAAAATATACTTCCCTCCAAAAAAAAATCCTTTGGCCATTTTTGATTGTGCCCTTTGGCTGTTAAGTTGTTGAAGTTTTAGAAATAGAATTTTGAGATGAGACCCTTTTTGGGTATCTGATAACTGAAAAATTTCTCCAATATGTATTTTCTCTTCGTCATCAGCCTTTGTATTTGATAAAACACCTTTACTCTGAGAGAAATTTATTAGAATGGCAAATATATTGGATACTTTTGATTTTTGAGCATCTTAAGATACACCCATATTCATGAGACAGTCAAACCTTGACATTTCAGCCCTGATTAAATTACATTCTTGTCTCAAGTCACAGCGTGATGATCCCTGGTGATTCTGAGTAGCTTTAAATGATGCTTGGATTATTAGGTCGGGCTCTTAAGTCAAACGAGTGAGTCCATATCCTTCCATCATGCCCATCCATTTATCCATCGGCAGATTTCTTCATCTGCTCATAACCCATTTAGGGATTGATTATCCTTTCTGTGGAACCAAATTCCAAGTTATATTCTGAGCAAACCAGCCACAGGAGTCTAGCAGCCCGTGGATGATCACCTTCAGGAAAGGAAGCAAGCCACTCTGTAAAAGCTTGCCAATTTTATGTATCCACAGCCCCTCCATATTTTACAGGGTCTCCTAATTTGACTGCTGAATTTGGCATTACTTGAATGTTCAGTTTCTATTCAAGGAGTTTCTCTCTCTCTCTCTTTCACACACACACACACACACACACACACACACACACACACACAGTTTTATTGGCACGTAATCCACATCATACAATTCAGTCCTTCAGTCACGTCAAAAAGGATTGTACAATCATTATCACAATCAATTTCAGAACATTTTCTCATTTTTCCCCTCAATGACTAAATCACCTTTAAAATGAGCTGTGTAATCACATTCAGTTCTAGTGCTCCTTCCCCCTCCCTCCTTCACTGTTTATTCGTGAAATCTCCTCCCCCTCCCCATTTCACCCTCCTACCCACCCTACATTCCCTACAAATCCTTAGATCAGTTATTATCTGTATGCATCTACTCCCTCTGTGCTTCATGAACTGTTAAACCCAACAGAAACAATAAAGAACAAAAATGAAATGAAGTGATAAGGATAAAATAATAGTAACATAAAGATTAAAATACCACAATGAGCAGGAAAACAGAAACCTCCATCAGTAAGGTAAAAGGAAACAGGAAAGATCTAGGAAGCAAAGCTATGGATATAGGTATAAACATAGGTGTGCACTTATGTAAATATATTCGTATAAAAGAGGTATTGGTATATGTACATATATTTATATGGCAATACATGAGATACAGCATCTGGGGTCTTAAAGGCTTGAAGTTAAACAAGCAACCATCTAGCCGAGAATCAACAAAGCCCACATGGAAGAGCACACCAGCCTATGCCATCATGAGGTGTCCACGGGATCAGGTTAACTGGCACCACAAGACCCAAAACAACACATAAAAAACATATGGTTGAGAACGAGGGGCGTCGGAGCAGATACCCCAAATCCATCTGCAGACAATGTGGCATCCCCTCACATAAGGGTCACAAGTCAACCAGGGCGAACTATCACACTGATGAAACACACAGTGTCCCTCCAGTTCCTTGAGGCTCCCCCCCCCCCCACTGTCATGACCCCAATCCAGCCTTTTACTGTGGGCTTGGCTGGAGCATGTACACAGGTACAAATAAGAGCTCAGGACACACGAAATCCAGGTTAGATAAACCCCTCAGGAACAGCAATGGGATTATCGATACCAGGAGGGTAGAGGGAAGGTGGGGAGAGGAGGCAGGGAGAAACTGCAGGGGAAAGGAGATAAAATAATAATAATTTATAATTTGTCAGTGGGTCACAAAGGTGGGAGGGGGGAGGGAGGGAAAAGGTGAGTGGATACCAAGGACTCAAGTAGAAAGTAAATGTTTAGAAAATAATGATGGCCACATATGTACAAATATGCTTGATGCAGTTGATTGTTATAAGAGCCCCCAATAAAGTGATCTTAAAATAAATATATATGAATAAATATGAAAAAATAAAACAAAACCCAAAACCTCCATCACTATTTAAAAAGCCAGGATCAAGTGAGAGCCTTGCACTTAGAACAAATTCAGGTTGGGTGGTTCTCAACCTTCTTAATGCCGCCACCCTTTAATACAGTTGTTCCTCATGTTGTGGTGACCCCCAACCTTAAAGCTATTTTTGTTGCTACTTCATAACTGTCATTTCGCTACTGTTAGGAATTAGGCAACCCCTGTGAAAGGGTTGTTGAACCCCCATAGGGGTTTCAACCCACAGGCTGAGAATCGCTGGCCAAGTATCAAGGTTTATTTGGCCTAGTCAGGATTACAGTGGTCTATATTTGATAGTAAGGCTGTTCCAGACCTTTGCCTGTGGCTAGAGGGGATCTGCCAGTGGCTTAATCTGACTAGATAGTGTGCAGATGGGTTTTGGGCTCCCAGTGTCCTCCACAGCCTTCCACAAATTGGGTGTTCACAATTTAAGCTGTGATACTTTTCCCTTCATCATATTTGGATTTTATAATTGTCATCTTTGAAGCACATAAGCTGGTGTGCTTCTTCCAAGTGGACTTAGTTGACTCCTTGGCTTAGATGGCTTCTTTTTTGAATACAAGCATTTTTTCCCAAATCATTTTATTGGGGCCCCTTACAACTCTTGCCACAATTCATACATCCATCCATTATGTCAAGCACATTTGTACATATGTTGTCATCATCATTTTCAAGACATTTTCTTTCTACTTCAGCCTTTGGTATCAGCTCATCCCCACCCACCACTCACCCCTGAATACAAGCATTTAAGACCCCAAACACTATTTGGATTGATAGCCCAGCACCTTCTGCTTTCTTCAGCACACTTTGCTGTAGCACCTCAAGGAGTTGCTTGCAGTTATTTCAGGTTTTGAGAGCAGCTGTTGGAAATAAAGTAAAGTATTTGAAGAGTAAAGGAGAAAGGAGAGCAATTGGGGTCTCACTGACTGCTAGCAAACCTATTCTTTCTCACAGTGACTCTAAATGACAGAACAGAGTAGAACTGTCCCCTGGGTTTCCAAGACTGTAAATCTTTACAGGAATAGTAGGTCTTATCTTTCTTTCATGGAGCTGCTGGTGTTTTTGAATTGCTGACCTTGTAACTACTGCCTAATGCATAACCCACTACACTACCAGATCTTCTTGTTGGGGACTTGGCGGAGAAATTTAGTTAGAATATCAGAGGAAAGTCAGCTGGAAACTAAAAAGTAAATCTTCTTGTTCTTGCACCCAAATTCTAGTTTGGGGGGCATGCTACATGGGAATAAACATTTAAAAATGAATTTGATCATACTCTGGATTGTTGTCTGTTGTGACTGTGTTAGTCTAGGTAGATTAGAGAAACAAATTCAGGGAGACTCATGTGTATAAGAAAGAGGTTTATATACAAGAGCAATTGAATCTTGAGGAGAATATCCCAGCCCAGTCCAGATCAAGTCCATAAGTCCAACATAGCCCATATGTCTGATGCCAGTCTATAAAGTCCTCTTCAGACTCACAAAATACATGCAATGATGCAGAATGCAGGAGAGTCACAGGCCAGTGGGTGGGAAGTCTTGTGGATCCACTGGCATTGTAAGCATCTGAGTGCTGGCAGGGGTCTCCAAATGGCTCCTCCAGCTCCAGAGGTCTGGTTGCATCAGAGTAGGTCCATGTGGTTTCTCCAGCTCCCAGGGCGTAGCACCATGGCCATGTGTCTTGTCAGTAGAGCATCTCTCAGGGAGAGAGCCTTATCAGTAGAGAGTCTCCCAGGGAGTGAGCCGAGAGAGAGTAGGTCTCCCGTCTCCAAGTAGAAAAATATAGGAGTTCCCAGAGTTTTTAGGAGAAGGCCATGTGCACACAGAGGCCTCATGGCGTATATCCTGATTGACAAGCAGACTCCACCCTTTCACTGATAATCTTCTCAAATTGATACCAGATTATGTAACTACCACAGTGACCTTTGTGTCAGATCATGGCAAACTCATACAATGGGATCAGATCGTTGTGATCCCTTGAGTTTTTGCTGTCTAGTTTTTCAGAAGTAGTTCACTAGGTTTTTCTTCATTGTCCACTTTAGTAGCCTGGAAGCTCTGCTGAACCAGTTCAGTGTCATAACATACAAGCCTCCGTTGACAGGTGATGGCTGGCTGTACCCGAGGTGCATTGGCTAGGAATCCATCTAAGGGCTTCTTCTGGGAAGGTGAGAATTGGACTAGTGAACTGCCACCCACCCCTTCTTTTGGATTAGAAGATTGTAACACTACCCAAGTTTTCAGTCACATTAATCTAGAAGTCTCCCTAGACTGACTCCTCCTGGACCCAGTTCAGTCCCTAGGAGCCCCTATTCTCATTCCACCTATCCCCACCCCCTTACTTATCTCTCCAGCTCCTGCAGGAGGTTCTTTCATAGAAAGTCAAATAGAAACCTTTCTTTGATGCAAGGTCGTCCACACTGGCATTTTATATTTCTGCACTTCTGGCGTTTAGAAAAACCAACAAACTAGTATTGTTTCCACTTGCAGTCGGGGATCTAGGTTGTATTGAATGTCTAATAGTATTTTCTAAGATTGGAGACTATGACAGTAATAGTGTGGATTACATGGTACTGCCTACTCACTAATAACCCTGTATGTAAGCTTCAGTATTGATTGTTCTGTCGAATATATGGTACAAACAAATAATATCTGTCAATCATTGGAATTGTTTTTTTCAAAGGAAAATGT